TACGAAGCATAGCGTCATGCGTGGAGTTATTGTTTGTTAAGCTAGTTTAGCGTAGCCTCCCACAAGTGCGGGGCCTCAGCTGTCTTTTGTTTTTGTTCCGGGTTCAGAGGTCACAGCCCGTTGTCTCCTACGTGAGCGCAGTCCACCGAAAAACATTATATTTCCCACAATTTAAGCTTCTGCATTTTCCAAATGCACCAGTATTATTCAAACGTATTGTTCGGTTCCTTAGCCTCGTACCGAACGGTTTAATACGAATACGTGTATTATTACACCAACAGAAACAAATAACCGTAGCTGTGGCTCATAATGAGGTTATTAGGAGATGTTTCAGCTGCAGGACAGCACTGAAGGCCCAGGTATAAAATGCACGGACCGCCATAGTTAGTGGAAAGTTTCCACTAACTATTGGACCACTCCGTCTGTATGTATTTCATTAACATATATATAAACATATATTCCTCCTCTTCCTGCAGAAGTGCACTTTATTCTGACAATAAAACAAGAAAAAGAGTTCTAGTCGAGCCGGATCATCATCAGAATGTCTGAAGTATTCCAGCAGAGTCACGATGTGACAAAGACTCTTTCAGGAGGTCAAAGAGGTCAGAATGTGGTAAGAAAGTTATGTGTGTGTGTGTGTGTGTGTGTGTGTGTCCGATCGGTATGATGCAATCTACTGAGATAACAACAGCTGATGAAACACTAATGAGTGTCTAGTGTGTGTGGACCTCAGGGGACGGCCTGAGTACAGCCACTCTGCAAACAGCTAATTATCACCCAGTGGTCACAGTGTGACGGCCTCAAGGGCCTCAAGGGCCTCAAGGGCCTCAGTGATCAGAAACAACTGAGCCAACATGTTCTATCTTTACAAACAAACCAAGACATGGTAACTTGTGCTGTAATATGTAATTATGTCAGAGGTGGTCAACAGATCCACTCCTCCTTTGTCCTTTGAGAGCAATTAAACTCACAAACCCAACTGTTAACAAACACTTCAACAACAGCAATACAATACAACACAACACAATACAATACAATATAATATAAGTGGTAAGACAGGTTGGGGGTTAAAGGTGAGAAGGAAGTCAGTGTTTGTTTGTCATGTTTTTGGGAGTGGAGATAAACGGCAACAGAGGTGTGCAGCCAAAAAGAGAAGTTTGCTGTCCTTGTTTATTTCCGCGCTCCTACATTGGTGACCCTGAGTCTACTGGACGTTTCCAGAGACGAACATGACCATGCTCGCAGTTTCGCTCAAGCTGCCGGAGTTTTGGGAGACGCAAGCATCCGTCTGGTTTGCTGAAGCACAGTTCGCTCTCAGAGATTATTTTACGGTCTTAGGACGGCCCAGGGAACATTCCACACCTTCCCAGTCGGCCCTTCGTCCTCACAGATTGAAACCACCAATGCAGAACATTTAGAAAAGGTTTTTCTGCTTACCTTTATGTTGAGCTCATGGCACGTTCAGCCTGTGAGAGAAGACAGGTCGCCCCGCTTGGGCCCGGTCCCTGTGGAGTCCTCCTCGTGGTGGCTCGCCAAGGACAACACAATGGGACCACAGCATGAAGCCTTACCTAGTCCAAGTTCAAATTTGATAACAATACCACAGAAAATTAATATTTTACACATGTTTTTCTCAGGGTATGTCGAGGCGTTTTCCAAAAAAGGCCATTTGGAGACGCTTGGTAACCATGGTCACATACCTAGTCTCCTGACCTGAATCTGTATCACATGATTGCCTTTTATGTGAAAATAAAGAAAGAACAGTTTGCATTTACAAAACTAGACAAAACTTTTCCATCTTTTCTGCATTCTACTTTTTTACAGCTCGCTGCCTCACATGTCAGCAGTTCACATAATGAAACACACACACACACCTCCTTATGTAGGTATATACATATATATATATATATATATATATATATACCTCCCCAGATCGTTGTTTTCGAAATTTCATTGGCGATACGAAGTGTCAGTCATCAGAACGATCGGTTGCAATTGGCTCGTTCTTTACACAAAAGAAGAGGGGCAGGCACTTTCCTTCAACGCGTACTCTCGTTGGCTATTGTAGGCTGTGGACAGGACATGGTAGCTCCTAATGGGTCAAGTGAGGTGTCAATCGAAAGGTCAGAGTGCAGCCGCCATATACCAGACCCAGATACCGGCAATGTTTACATGTGAACTGGAGTTAGGACGGAAAATACATAAATAATGAGGCACATCTGCCGGCTAATTTGAAATGATGGAAGAGCAGTCCGTGGGTATGTATGGACGTAATAATGTGTTTTTGACTAAATATTTGACTGGATTGGATTGTCTGGACCTTTGCCAATGTAACAAGAACGTTTTATCTGAATATTATCGATGGGTGGATTACTATGAAGCTTCATCAGTGAATTGCCTCAATTTTGTAATCGTTTATTTGTTGGTTGGTGGTCTGACAGAGGCGTTGATTGTACCTGCTGTTGAGATTGTATCTTAAAATGGTTTGCATAAATCGAATCACAATAATCTTAGCTTTCCAAAGATATGTCTCATCAGTACCTACCTATACTATATATATATATATATATATATATATATATATATATATATATATATAGTGGTGGGCCGTGCATTTTATACCTGGGCCTTCACTGCTGTCCTGCAGCTGAAACACAGCTACGGTTATTATTTGTTTCGTGTAAAAATGAAGCTCAACACCTGTAAATACATTAACTGCAGAGAATACGCAGAGACTGTGTCTCCTCTGCTCTGACTGCTGCGCGAGGCTTCTGTGAGAGTGACTGTGAGTGCTTTGGGGCGGCAGAGGCGCTCACGGCAGCACCCGCGTGCAGAACGAGAGTCAAGAGTCAAAACACCAGAACAAGTCTCTAGATTTGTCGCTAGTAGCTTTTGACAAAGAAAAGTCTCCATGAGGGTTTAGAAAGTCGCCGGATTTAGCGAGAAAGTCGCCAAGTTGCCAACACTGGCACCGGCTAAATATGTCCCCAGAGCAACATTGGACGTAACAATAGTTCCTATCACATATAAAACCAAACAAAAATCCATCTTCATAAAAACAAGTTGTACAAATAATAATATATAAACAAGCATATTAAAGCTACTGCAGATGTAAAAACAAAAGCAGTTCACTTACCAGAGCTGCTGTTCACTATTTAAAGATAAAGTCCATCCTCCTTTCTTTGTTAACAAAGAGTTTAATCTCACCGTTGTTCAGTACATCCGTGTGTTTTAGTTCCAGTAAGAAGTCCTTCTCCATTCATGGACGCCAGTGAAGACAGTCGAGCCTCCCCAGTTGTATTTCTTGAATACGTTTTAATGCATTTGAGGCTGAAAATGTCCGCTCCACAGAGGCAGCAGATATTGGGATTGTCACCGCCCAACATGTCACGCTAGCTCACTTTCCAATCACGTACTTGTAGACCAGCTAGCAGGCTCTGACACGTCAAAGAATACGCCCAACATGTCAAACTAAAGATCTGATTGGTTGAACACTATGACAATCAACAATATCGTCCCCATTCACTTAAAGTGCACATGGATGCACTTGTGAGTCTGCAGGCCTCTGCCTCTGTTCTTACCTAGAGACACAGAGGTGAGATCTGATTGGATAAAAGCTCTACTTAAAACAAGCTGCACTGGAAGCAGAGCAACTGAGGAAGACAGTAGCTGTGCAATGAGAAAATAAGATAATGGGAACAATATTTAAATAAATTATAATACATGTAGTGTATTTAAGAAGAATTATTAAATTATAAAATAGACATAACTTTGTGATTCTGTTTAGGCCAGCAGAGAAGGCCGGACAACGTATCCTCATTTATGGCTCGTTTATGATATCTAACAAAAAGTTACTCCTCATTTTGTGTTTTCATATGAAGGTCCAGCAACACGTGTACATTTCTGCTTGTTACATAAATACAATCTTTTCAGGAATTAACTTAGTTAAGTTTAGGCAACAAAACTACTTAGTTAAGTTTAGGCAACACAACTACTTAGTTAGGTTTAGGCAACAAAACTACTTAGTTAAGTTTAGGCAACAAAACTACTTTGTTAAGTTTAGGCAACAAACTACTTAGTTAAGTTTAGGCAACTAAACTACTTAGTTAAGTTTAGGCAACAAAACTACTTAGTTAGGTTTAGACAACTAAACTACTTAGTTAGGTTTAGGCAACAAAACTAGTTAGTTAGGTTTAGACAACAAAACTACTTAGTTAGGTGTAGACAATAAAACTACTAAGCCATGGAATTATATCACTCTTCCCGTCGGGGGTCAGATCAGAAAACGCTTCTTTGTGGTGTTATGGAACCAACAATATATTTAGTTGTTTCATTTTGGAGAGCTTGTTATCTCCACATATTTGCACAGCTTCCTACACAAGTCATGGCATGTTGATGGCCTAAGCGTTGTAATGTATGTTATTTATAAATTCGTAATTTGCTATATTTAATATCTTAAATAGTTTCAGGACTTTAAACTGCATTTGTATGAAATTGTACAGTGTAACTTGAAGCTGAACCTGACTATGTGCGTTGTATTGTGGTTAGTGCACATACAGGTCATTGATCAGGGCCTTGCACCAACCCTGCAACAGCTCTCAATGCAATGTGGTAAACAAATTGATGTTTTAGGAGGCGCAAAAACATATTAATAGAACACAGACTGACGCAAACAAAGTTTAACACCTATGGGTTCAGGCCTCTAAAGTTATTCAAATGATAACAACTCCATGTGAAAGAGTTAATGAGATCCATGGAGGGTGAGGAAAGGCCATAAGATAGCTCATCGGACTCAAACAGTTCACTTTCTTATATCTGAAGATGAGCACACACCAAGTGCAGTCCGAGGTCAGGTATCTGTAAATGAATATGACAAATACATGTTCTATATTAATGCAATCTTCATGGTGAGACTTCTTTTCTCAGTGTATTCATTGATGCTTGTTACACAGTCTACCAGTCTTATGAAGTAAGGGTTTAAATGATGACACTTTCAATTTAATGTAACATATATAACTCTTGGTGGGTATGTGGAAATGGGCAAATACAGGTATTTTTATGTATATATTCTAACAATCTGCTTTAATTGCACCATTGTGTACCTTATCTGGATACACAAGAACCTCCATGAGCCAATGTACATCTTCATTGCAGCTTTGCTACTGAACTCTATTGTTTACAACACTGCTATGTACCCAAAGATGTTAAGTGACTTTTTATCTGAAGAACAGCTCATATCATATTCAGCATGTCTCTTTCAGTTTTTTGTATATTACAACTTAAGTGCTTCAGATTTCTTCCTGTTGTCCGCCATGTCTTATGACAGGTATGTGGCGATATGTAAACCTCTGCGGTATGCAGCCATCATGAGAAGAAGCACAGTGACCAGTATTCTGGTTCTAGCTTGGCTTGTGCCTGCTGGTGAGATGGCAGTCTCAGTAACTCTGGTTACTAACTCAAAACTCTGTAATTCAGCTTTAAGAGCATTGTTTTGTAACAATTCACTTTACAAACTCTTCTGTGAGAGTTCGAGAGCACTATCTGTATTTGATGTGCTGGCGCTGCTGAGCATGGCACTCTTCCCTTTGCTCTTCATACTGTTTACATACACCAGAATACTTATGATATCATATAGAAGTGGTAGAAATGTCAGGAAAAAAGCTGCTCAGACTTGTTTACCCCATCTGATAGTTTTAATCTGCTTTTCATCTTTGTGTGGATATGATGCCATTGTAATTCAACTGGGATCTGATTTACATTTCATGATGACTTTACAAGCGTTTCTCTATTATCCTCTATTGAATCCAGTTATATACGGACTAAAGGTGAAAGAAATCTCTAAACACCTGAAGACGTTGTTCTGTGAAGCCAAAGTGATGTAATGTACTGAAAGTACTGATACAGTAATCGTGATGTTAATGATGCCAATGAGCACTTATTGCTCCTGGGACATGAATCCAGAGATGTGAATGTTCAGACCTTTAGGAAGGAAGAACAATCCTCTTTACTGTTCGTCATGGAAACAGAACAATGCAATGATTTCTCAATGTGCTGCAGTTATTCAACAATAAGTCTTCGTTACTGTCAACTGCAGCTTTGTAAGTCAGTCATGTGCAATCCAAAGAGGGAGCGTGTCACTTTCAATGGCCTCCAATGTTTCTCCCATCAATGTGACACATTTGTTTATCAAGTTTGATATAACAAATAGTGAACGGTGCATTCACTGCAGTGCACTGTGGGAAATCTGCAAGAAAAGGAAAAGCAACAAGAAAGGTTTTCATGTGGCTGTTTTGTCCAGAACTCCCTCGAAAAGAGATTTTGAATTTCAATACGTCATATTTGTGGAGAAATAAAGGTTGAATATAAAATATAACAATCCCATCAACAGAAAATAAATAATAATAGAAATAATGTGCTGGCAGCATATTTCATCAGTACCAGAGATGTCGAGTAATGTCGGCTTCAACTGGCAGGAATCAGGAATCAGAAACGGTTTATTGCCAAGTTAGTTTGCACATACAAGGATCTGTCTCTGTGATTAGTGCACGACATTAAATATTTTGACATAGCAGAAGACATGAATATAAAATTGTGAAAATTTACAATAAAGTATGATTAACAGACAAACAATATATGTTAAGTACGTTAAACTAAGTGTTAGTTAAGTGTTAAAGGAAGAGATGTAAGAGTACGAGTCAGTGGGGTCCAGAACAATTAAGCTTCTGGTTTAACTATAAATAATGCAAGTTTTTCATGAATGACAAATTAAACAAAGAACTGTCAAGAAGTAGACTGTGAGCATGTGGTAGTTTTGGCAGGACAATACCATATCATATGTATATAGGAGCCCCATACATCACATTGACAGAGAGCCTGGCCTTATGAGAAACGGTTTACTGGTGAATAATAAAGAGACCATGCTGCTGGGAGCTGATGTCGTTTTTCCGAACAGTGTTTGTAAAAGGAGGCTTTGATTAAAGCTGAATGATGTCAGGCCACCAGACCTTTGTGTCTACATTGAACTGTGGTGTTTAGGGAAGGAGACACTAGTCTGCCAGTCCAGGGAACACTGTAAGCTCTTATAGCAACTGGAGATAATATACAAATGAGGAATCAGAAGATTTGAACTGCAAATGTCTGCACTCCTCTGTTGCTCTTAGAGTGGAAATGAATCGGCTTCTTTCCTTCTCTTTTTAGAGAGCAGTGTAGAATTGTTGCGGATAAAGTCCATCAAGAACGTTTCACTAATAGAGTCCTCGCCGCTCTCCGTTTAAGAAGTGCATTGAGCAAATGAATATTGGATTGTAAACTTAAATTTAAGTTATGTTGCGTATGTGATGAAAGGCAATTGGTGAATTATTGACCAGAAGAGAGGGTAGGCTCAAACACAATACTAGTCACTGTTACTTGATCAAATTGGTGTCTATGTGGAGCAGGGCCAAAGACCAGCATCTCAGTAACCTACAATAATATTACATCAGGAATTTCTGTTCTAATATTATTGTAGGAAACACACGGTGGTCTTTCAGATCGATAAGATTTTCCCTACGCGAGGGCCAGAGACACAGAAGTGAATTTCCAGCCTGTCAAGGAAATCTGTGGCATCTAAAGCCACCCTGAGATCCAGTAATAGAAGGACTGAGGTTGAATCAGGATTTACAGGCAGTTGGCCTGGGAGCTGAAGAGCAGAGAGACGGGGCCAAAGGTGGTGGAGCTCTGGAGGACGGACATGAGGAAGACCAGACAGACAGAACCATTCTGGAGGACAACCAGATGGGTAGAGCCTGGGATCAGGAAATCAGGCATGCATGGGCATTGTAATGCTGCGTTCACACCAAACGTGGCGCGAATTATTCGCGCAAGTAGATTACATACAAAGTCTATGGACAGACGCGATGAGACTGGCGCGGCACGAATTTGCGATGGCGCGGCGCGATGGACGCGAATTTGCGACGCGATGGACGCGTTACGCCCCGGTGCGATAGCCTATCAGCGTTGAGTTGCTTCCCCTGTCATCACTGACTTCCTGCCGTTGTTGAATCAGGAAATAAATCCTGTAGCCGTCTGTGTTCACCCAGAGCTCTACGATACCTCATATCAATAGAGACCGGACCAAACTATGTGTATACATGTGTGTGTGTAAACCATATGGTACAAACAATGAATAGACGCTGCCGTATTTACGTCTACATGACGTTATTCTGAGTGTTGGTGGAGCTGCTACGATGTTAGCATAGCCTAGCACCGATCCATCAGAGCTCCATTGAGAACACAAGTAGCCTACAAATCGGCATCATTACGTAGTTATTTCGGAGTCCCTTTTTGTCGGTTTATTGCCGCCAGATCAGTTTATTTAGTGTTCATACAGCTGTAGTAAACAGCGACCTGTGGCTCACTAGACACAGTGAATACACTTCGATAAAATCCACGCGAGACCGGCGGCGCGATTGACGCGAATTTGTGGCGCGATGAATTTGCGCGTGTGTTTTTTTGCTTATGTAGTAGGTTGGAAATGCTACATGTTAGTTTTTATTAAAACACCCCCCCCCCCCCCCCCCACACTTTGTAGATGGCGCTTTGGTGCTGCTGTGGATCCATTAGAGAGAACATAGCTACAGGCTCCGCTCATGCGCAGCTCAGAATAAAACTAGCTCTGGCCTGAGCATGACGCTAACGTTGGTCCTCTCTGTATTAATCCACAGTTAGATCAGTTGGCTACACAGTGCTTCCTAGCCTGTGTAACCTTTGCTGCCGGTCCAGATTTCCCCTAGGTCTGGTGCCGGTAACACTTACTCTACAATTCATTTGAAAAGAAAAATAAACTTACATGGTTAGAACACCATACATGCACAAATAGAAGAAAATCAAGGACAATGCAAAAAAAGTCTCAAGCCTTATTTCTATTGTGGTCGTAGAAGGTCCGAGTAGACAAATAACTTCTTTCCAATTCTTCCAACAGTCCGGCAACAGCTAACCTGCCAAATGCTTTGTGAGACAGAACAATCTGAGATGCCCTCTTTGGAAACTATTTGGAAAAGTAATCACTTTCAAAAACTATTTGGCAGGTGATTGGATGAACCATCTGTCAATCAAACTCCTACCAAAGCAAGTCGGGAGAAAAGCGGAAGCATCTTTTCAATAGAGAAAAACTCTCCAGTTCTGATAGAACTGATGCTTTTTGCAGCATTTACGCAAACTCCTTCAAGAGCCATTGTAGTTTAGAATTTACAAAGACCTCTCTGTGTCGTCACAGCCTCCAGCTGCCAGTAGCTCCTCAAAGGACTATGATTAGTCCATCCTCCGGCTTGCCGGACACAGAAGTATTACTTAAAGCCTGTCAAGATGGATTTTCGTGTGATATATGATCCCGTAATTCTTGCGTGATCTTGTTACATCGCGGGAATCCAGCGTCCATGGAGGTAATGCAACAGCTGAATCCATTGGAGAAAAGCCCTGTTCTTCCAATGGGTTCCCTGCTAAGGTAGTCTCTTCTTGTGGTGTGGATGAGCAGGTTCATGCTGTCGGGATCAGCAGTCGACCAGTGAGCAACTGAGAGATGGTGGACATAAAGTCAGCGGACTGCAACTCACCAAGCTAAAAGCAAAAAGTCCAGTCAGGATGGCCAGAAGATCCTCCGCGACCACCAGAACTTCAGAGATGAAATCACAATGTGTTCACATACGATCAAAAGTAGAGAAAGTCACAGTTCCATCTACTTTTAGATCAGCAGGTTGGAGCACATTCACAGAGGATACTTGGGCATTGAAAGGATATTAGTCAGATGGCAAAGAGCGTCTCATCTCTCATCAGATACCAGCAGACCATCGCAACTACTCTGTTCTCCCAAAGTGGACTGCTGAGTTGTTGTGGACGACTACAGCTGATTGAACTACAGAGAAAGCTGAAGGCTATGTTTGCAGGAGATAATTATCTGCCAGAGCTTTATCTTACATCGAACCCCTTTCCCCCCAAAGAAATTGGCTGGCTTGAAAAACGGCTGCTACTACTACTATCACCAACTACATACTTGACAAATTGGGAACATAAATGTCTGAACCAATTTTCATGTCAATCCATCCAATAGTTATTAGGATTTCAATCAATAATCTCATAGTGGCCCTAGAGAAACAGTCAGAAGGTCACCAAGTTAATAATTAATCCACAGTGGACCTTGAATATCTGCAATTGTGAACTCTGGGCCAAAAATGTTCATGCTCATGGTGACGCTCGACTCTAGACTCTTGACTCGAGACCACAAACTTTATATCAGAAGTGGACGTAGTCGTCGTGACGTCTCTCTTCGGTTTGTGGACCGCAGTTTGAAAGCCTCGATGTTCAGCATTTTGGTCATCGCCATCTTGGCTTTTTGCAACCAGTGAACAGAAAGTAACCATATCTGGACTGAGGAGGAGTGACGTAGAGACGAGACCTGTCAA